ATGTTTCGATAACCCCATTTAATCGCGATAAATCTTAATGAATAGACAGAATTCGTATGCAAATCGCCCTATAATGCCGTTTATCTACCACCGAGTCCGGGCGGAGACATAGTTCGCGCACTTATCAGTTCATATCGGTGCGCTTAAGAATCTGCATGCATTTAAGTAAAATTAAGCAAACCTGCAAATCTCGCTTAAGTACGGTAGAAAAAACGAACTTGTCGCGGGCTAGAGCGGGAAAGCGTTGTTCTGTTCGTGTATTAATTATTATCATTAAGCGTGAACGTGAAAGTAAAGAAACAGAAATATAGCTCGAACGTTGCTGGACAGTTGAGTGGTAGGAACCGAATTTTGTGAGGTTTTTCGGTGGCGGTAGCGATTTCGGCGGGAAAACGTGGGCACCGAGCCAAGAGTGCGTAAGAGCGTTTCAGGTTAGCCAATCAACGTCGAGCAACGACGCGAGTAATGGCGCTGTTATCGATTTTTCGTCAGTGTACGTCGTGATTATTGCGCGGTAGGACGACGAAGACGACGGCAACGACAACGACGACGTCGAGTGGTGTGACCATCGTCATCAAATCATATTGGTCGGACAGCAAGACAGGAACGACGCTGGTTTTTGTTGTTGCTAAAGTGATCCGTTGTTTGTGAAGTTGTTCATCGAGTGAGTGACCGACTGACCGTTGTGTCCGGTTTATTGCTTACGGTGGACGTAGTTCCTGTTTTCGTTACAGGCATCGTTAAAGCGCATTTTCTGTTCGTTCGTTTGTTCAGACTACTACTACTAAAACTGATTTGCATAATTGGACTTTACTATTACTGACGTCATCATTTGACCGATTTGGTAGACAGAAAATAACAGCTAATTGACCATCATCTCCGTTGTTATCGCGTCATCAATGCAACTTTCGGTCTGTGGAGCCGGCTCTGGGGGTAGCGGCAGCGAGTTGTGGACGACCGCGACATCAACCGCAGCTGGGACCGCTGCAACGTCGGCGACTGATGACTTGTGCCAACGTCGAAGGGTGGTCAGTGTCCGAAGGAATTTATTCGGTTCGAACGACGAACTGGTCGTCGGTCAGAAGGAAAACGAAAAGGCAATGACCAAAAAGAAAAACGGCGATGTTGAACACCATGATGAAAGTGAAAAGTTCCCCTGGATCGAGGAAGTGGTGCGCAGGAGCAGCGTTGAGGTGCTGAAGCAGTGCCGTCAGTGGTGTTTCGATTTCGTAAATGACCGGCCGATGACCGATGGCGATTACGAGTGGATTAAACTATCCGTCGGTCAGGTTCCGAGCTACTATGCTTGCTCGACGCCGATCGATCGCCGTCCCCGTGCTCATGTTCGTCGTCGCTCTCAGCCCTCTTGTCCTCCTCACCCTATCTCCGTCCCCCTCCCTCTCCCTACTCCGGTCTCGACGTCATCATCATTGTCCCAATCGCCATGTATGACCGAGCCGAGCACCAGTACTGCAGCCGCGCCGAACTCGTCGGCCGACATCCTGCAAAATCTCGCCGTCTCGTTCGAAAGAACTCCGTACGGTAAAGGCGGGAAGTGTCGTTACTCGACCACCACTTCTGCGTTTCCCAGTTTGTCCTCTGCGAGGACTATCCGGCAGACCCATCTCACCGGTAAGTTCAAAGTTTAAAGCTCCGTTTATATCAGTTCGCTTGTATACGCGTTTGTGTGTTTGAATCTCTTGTTCCCGATTTCATTTGTGGTCACGTACGTGCGTAAGAGCACGCGCAGAGTGCCCGCCATTTTCTACGATTTGTTTCGCTGTTGTGTTTTTGCTTTTTCGTCATCTGCCTTACTGCTACGACAGACAGTTTGGCTGCTGGCTTCGGTTGCCAAGGCCGTTATTGTCGTTGCCGATATTGTGTAGTAAACAACGGCTGTGACGTAGTTGCCTCATCTTTTCCTGTACTATGTCTTTTCACTTTGTCTCGCCGGTGTTGTTCTTCCTCCGTTTCGCAGGAGTCTGTAAATCTCATATTCTTCATAACCAATAATATTTGTTGCCCTCCGCTATTTTCTGTCCTCCATCGATTTGCGGTGGCGCACAAAACTAATTCGCCTCGGCATCGGTAGTAGTAATTATTCTGCTGCTCCTCTGTTCTGCTCAACCTAGATTTTACCGACAAGTGGAGGAAAGTTTGTGGAAATTTGATTGCGTCCCTTGACGACACCGTAGTGATGGCGTGAGTCACGTCGTTACACTTTCCAGGTAGTGGATGAACCCTACTGGTTTCTACAGCTTTGTTTCTTTGCTCTTTTTGTCATCTGCGATGGCCATCTGTGGTGACAAAACCGCCAACCACCGCGGCGTGAGGTTTGTGGACATACGGGCGAACGGTATCGGATTAAACCATGCTTGGCGTCTTCTGCCCTCTGGCCTCTGCTGCGGAGCAAGACGAAAATTACCCATTGTTAAGGGACGCTGACAGTCTTATACATTTTGTGCTCAATTACGAGCTTGCACTTTTGGCCTCTGACTCAGTCAGTTGCTTTTCTGTCCATTCGATCTCCGACCTTTGCATTACACAACCGTAATTACTGCACGACAAGATCGAAACAGCATTTATTACAGTGTGCCTTTCGCTCCTAATCATCTCGTCACTTAAATTTTATTTTCATTTTTGTAGATTTCTTCACGGTCAGAAAACGTCCTCTCAATTTGGACAAACTCAGTGCCAGTTCCGATGACAGCGGCGATTGTATGTACGCGTCGTACGACGCTAGCGATTATAGCAGATCAGTGAAGATCGTGCGGCTGTGAATAAAATTCCCTTTCAATCCGGTCTCGAATCATTTGTTGGTAAGCTGACTTTTTATACATCTATATAATTGCACTTTACTTGTGTATAATTTGTTTTTTAGACTTATGACCCTATAAGTTCGGCATTTGCTCCGAGTGTTAAAGTGACGTGTGCAAGCTGCTCTACCAAATTGACTGAGCCAAAGTATTCAAGTACTCGACGACGTCCGGAAAAATCTGTATTTCTGCTCCTTTCTTGTATTGACTCGTGCCATTATTATTGGTGTTTTATTTCCTTTTTTTTCTTTATCAAGTCTGGTGACGACGGTGTTATCGTCAAATGTAATTCATTTTTGCCTCTAAATCACATGATTTTTTAGTTCTTTTGTTGTAACACGTTCGCCGTTCGTTTCTTTTTTGATTTTTATTAAGATATTGTTTAACTTCCAAGTCGCAAAATTTGCCCCCACGTCTGTGGCTGTGGTTTTTGTGGAAAGATCTTTTGCTGCTACCTTTTGTTTAGTTCGTTTCGTCGTCGGTCATTCGGACTTTATCGCGACGACGATTAAAACTGCAATCATTTTTCTACTCGTTCGAGAATTTTAATCTTGGCTGCGTAAATCAAGAGAGAATACCTGTTTTTTTCGGCGGCTCGGTGTTTGTGTTTTACTCGCATTGTTCTTGTCAAGCGATTGTGTGCAACTTATTTCTTCATTCAGTGCATATGTGCTGTTGTTTCATTAATGGTGTTATAACGTTGATGCGGATTTTTCCAATTAAATTGTTGTCAACAGGATTCATCACACGGTGTTGACTCTATCGTTTCTTACCGATGGATTTCGGTCTGGTGACCTGCAGATTCGCAAACCGCATGCTTTGAGGTTAGGAAGATAAAATTGTCGATGACGTTATCAGTAAGGTTATTATGAGGCGTTTCTGTGATTACCTTCGACCTTGTTTTATTGGTTTCGTACGGCTCGCCCGAGACTTATTTTGAACTCAGCCCGTGCGGTCGATTTTATTGCAGTTTTCATATCATACAATTATTTTCTGTTTTGAGGTCGAGGACGCAGGGGGCCAATGGCCGTTACCTCAGATTCAGAAATTTGTCCATCGTCGTAGTTTAGCAAACGCGAAGGTGGCAGCCATCATGTTTGTGAGCGCCGCTTCAGGCGGCGCGCCAGTTCTTGCTCGGCGTCGTCGCTCGATGACTCGCATCATCGGCGCGGTGTTTACGCGCAATTTCGCGAAACGGACGGCGCTTTCGCCACGCTGTCTGCTAGAAAAGCACGATGCTGATTGGCTGATTTAATGCCGCTGCGCCTAAACGCATCACATGATTGGATGCTGGCTGAGTGCCAAAAAGCGTTTATATCACGT